TAGAAGTTTACCGACGTTAGAGGTCCTTGCTGCCTCCATCATCAGAAGTAGTCTGGTAGAAGTTTACCGACGTTTCAGAGGTCCTTGCTGCCTCCATCATCAGAAGTAGTCTGATAGAAGTTTACCGACGTTTCAGAGGTCCTTGCTGCCTCCATCATCAGAAGTAGTCTGATAGAAGTTTACCGACGTTTCAGAGGTCCTTGCTGCCTCCATCATCAAATTCGAACTGACACACACCATATTGACACTGCGTGTTTAAACTTGATCGCTTCTTTCGTAAATACAGCCGCAGAGGTTGGCATTTTCCTTCGTATCCAACACTTACCTTGGCTTGGACACCACGCATCATATCTTATAATAGCCCACGACCGCCCGCTTCCACACTCACATCATTTCGTCAATTTGTGTCCTTTACAATTTTGTCAGTAGATAACGCGTACAGTTGAAATAGTGTTGTTGAATAAAGTCAGTCTCGTAGTACTCTGCATTCTCACGGCAAATCAGAACAAGCGTCGGCCGAAACTGACGAACTTTAAAACTAATCAAATGCCCTTCGATTCGTCTTCTGATTTCTATTTCTTCAAGAGCGACCCGTGAAGGCCAGCTTCGAATGTTGCAGCAACCAGCTTTGCGCTCTTAGATCGACTTCCTTCACTAATTATTTACGACTAATTAAAAGTGCAGACGTTCAGACAATGCAACATCTGTGATCCGAAACTCATATTCAAAAATCAGAAGCGATTAAATCCATCTTCCTCGCACTTCAGAATCTGAGATCTACTAAATATACATATCCTGATTTTATAAAACCTGAGGGTGTCTTGTTATGTTCGCAAATTCCCGCCACCAGTCTCTATCCTGAGCTACATAAATCAACTCCACATCTATAAGTCCAATTTTTTAATATCTATTTTAATATTATCTTACCATCTGTGCTGAGATCTTCAGTGTGCTTTCTTCCATTCAAGCTTTAAAAAATCATGCTTATGTCAAATCTCCATACGCGCTACATGCCCAGCCAATCTCACCCCTCTCAGATCCAAACACACGTACGATGCAGCAGTTGTGTTATTTTAATTTTTACGTTTTTATATAGCCGATGAGAAGAGAAAAGATTTCCCGAATGTAGTGTCTGATCTTATTTTTTTTTCTTTTTCGTGAATGCAATTCTGATTTATTACAGTCGTCCCCAAATTTCTGAACTGACACACGTTATTCAATGGATATATTAGTTTATTTTACAGTCCGGTGTTGAGACATGAACATGTACTTACTATTTTATGACATTATGTCTAGACCAACTCCCCTAATATCATATAAAAGAGCTTTAACGTTACGTTATGACATTTATGTTCTCACCAAATAAATTAACATCATTACTACAGAACAGGAAATGGTTTGTCCCTGTCAATTTCAATCAGTCTTTGTTTTCTGAATCTTCCTGATTGCGTATTCTAAAGAAAAATACTGAAAGAAATTGTGACAAAGCATCTAATCGCGTCACATTTACTAAAACGGATTTTACAGTAACTTCCATTTATATAATTCAAACCAGCTTAATTAAAGTTGTATGCCTAATTAAGTGAAAATGTTGTATAACACCTCCTTCCTAACTGGATGCTGGGCGTTCTCGAAGTGTATAAATAGATAATGTAAAGTCACATTAGATAGACCAGTTTTGATTAAAACCGTTTATACCAGATGGTAACTATATGTCAGACCTGTTTCAACCTTCAATAACATTTCATTCTGCTTTATAGGTTTTATATGATTTTTACTGTCAACGGGGGTTACTTCCTTAAACAGCATAACAAGTCGATTTTTGCAACGGTAAAGTGATGTTTTCTTGGCGGTACGGACTGAATTATTAAACAATATTTAATCTTGCTTAGGCTTTAAAGCGTAAAACTTAATACCGAAAAGTATTCTTAATCATTTCGGGTTTAGTTTATAACTTTAACATCCACCTTCAAGTAAGAGCGGAAGATTTTATTTCTTATCTTATCAGAACACACGAAAACGTTTAATTCAATTCAGGAGTTTCAGAAAAAGATGAAGAAACACAAGGTCTTGGATGAGTTTCGTTATGAGATTTGAAACATTATCTTAATTTATTATCTTATTGCAATACCAAGACGTACATATTTTGAGCGTGTGCAACGTCGTTAAACAGAGACGGCTTATTCTCTACTATAAAAATTTGTGATTTCTTATAAAATATTCCCAAAAAAAAAATTAGTTCATTTGTTAGTAAATCAAGAAAGCGATAAATTCAGAACACACGCCTTCAAATTGAATCCTTCGGAAATTAGGAAAATTTCGTGTGTGTGTATATATATATGTATATATATATATATCATAAAAATATAAAATCATTTTTTATGCCTTTCTTCCATTTACATCGGCCAATCCACCAATCAACACCATAAAATCTAACTCTCCATTGAAGGCTTCTAGAACTCGCCCCACAACACATTCACCTTGAAGATGGCAGCTGGGATTTTTTTCTGAAAAATTGGTTAATACCCAACATCAAACGCTGCTTATCCGAAGGATATTACATTACATTACGCAAATGCATTGAGAGCAAACTGTGTTCAGGGAACGTTTTCTCCCATTCAGTCCCATATCCAGAGATGTTAAGATTAAAATAAACAAAAGTATATTTGTTCCTGTTGCTTCAAGGAAGACAGATTGGCTGTGCACGTAGCGCGGAACGCATATAAGAACTACACAGAAAAATATAATTAGAAAACCTCACGGAAGTAGATCACTAGGGAGACCTCGATGTAGATGGGAGGATAATATTGTAGTGGATACTAAATAAATGAGGTGTGAGAATATAAAGTGGGCTTATGTTATTGAGGATAAGAAAAAATTGATAGGCAGTGTCGGACACTGCCGCAGTTATTTTCGTGAAAACGTCAATCGTGTATAGTATATTGAAATTAAACAATTTTTTTATAAATGATTATTTCTTAATTGGTACACATCCATACTTCACCCAGGCTCGTCAGATGCCGCCTGAGTTGTCCGAGCGCGCTTACGTTGCCTATATTCGCGGCAGTACTGCGCGTTGGTTTTGGGTCCGGGCCCGGCGTTTTCGGTGTCATTCTCTTTGGAATTCCGTGCTCTACGCATTCGTGCCCGATTTTTGTAATTCTGGTTTTACTTTTCTCTCATATATCGCGACATTTTAAGAAAATCGGGAAAGTTTCAAACTTTTTTCAAATTCACAGCCTCGTATCTTTTTGAGTTTTTGAGATACACACTTGAAGGCCAAGCGGAGTTGTGACATATACACTCCTCTTCAAAACAACACTTGGTTCACTCGAATCGGATAATTAGTCTCTGAGATATGATCCCGTTTATGGACACGTGTCGAATCCGGAAAGTCGAAAATCGTGGGTTCACTTTGCGCGTGCGCAGTTCGCTACGTCCGGCCGCCACGAATGTCGGAGCGGTACTGACACAAACTTTCATCCTTCCTCTTTAAAACTAGACTAAGATGGCGGCGCTATGTCTATTTGTAGCCGAGTTATTGACGTTTGAAATTACTTCGACAGAAACTGTCGCTCATTTGGGCTCGATTGGCTCCCCACACCCGGCATCGATTTTAAAGACGTTTTCACGTCAAAAAACAGTAGTGGGCCTATGTATATATGTTAAATAAAAACAGCGCCCCTTTTGGCGTAAATAAAAATTTATCTGGTGTCAAGAGAATGTTTATAAAGCGAAGTCATTGCTATATAAACTGACAGGTGACGTTGCTCTGACAACGAACGTACACAAACTTCAATTCTGACGTCAACATCACTGAAGGCGACGTGAAGATTAGTGCACAGAATAAAACGGAAATTAACATTAATTACATTAATTAGAGAGACTGAGGTGAGTAAAAATATTATAATACAATTTTAGAAAATGTTAGTTAAATAAAGGGACTGAACCGGCCGGCGAGATAATGTCAGTGTTGGGATTATATTATTGATGATTAGTTACTTTGTGGTGGCTGTCGATTTTTGGCTGCTGTGTACACAGAAAAATGTTTGCTGCCGGAGGGAGTACGAAAATTTTGCTGGTAGCTGCCAGCGAAGCAGTTCGTGTTTCGATATTTTATGACATAAATCCTGGATTCTTGGTAGCCGCCTATACAAGTGAGTAGCAAATACATTTTAAATATAATTTAGATACGTTCAAAAGTTTGATGAAATGACCTTAAGCTTCCTGTGTAATTATATTGTGTATTTTCATGTTATGTAAACGAATTGCAAATGTATTCCAACAGATCTGTATTATTTAGATGTATTTTGGGACTCAAAGTTTTGAGAAAATGAATATATGGTAAAGGTAGTATATTTGCGTCATATTGTGAATTAGGTTAATATTTTAATATTTTCCGTCAAATCACAATTTTAATAAGATAATAAAATATAAAATATTTAAAATATCATCTCACGTTCCGCATCGAATGATCGATTTACAAATTGGAACGTCTCTTACGACATGTTTCGGTTATATTTAACCGTCCTCAGGTATAAATTAGATTGGTAAAATTTAAAACTCGAATTACAATCATTTACAATGTTATGCAGTTTATTGAAATGTTCTTATCAGATTATACTCTTATATATTAGAACGAAGGTATTGTTTTTTATATGGCGTGGTTCATCTGATGTTCAATATTAGTCGGTGATGAGTTGATAGAGACATGACGTGTCTAGCGGAAGTAATATAGAAAACAAAATGATTGAAGTAAATAAATAGTAGAATGTATAAGTAAGTTATTCTCCTGATTAAAACTCCGTTTTCAAAACTGGGTTTTGCCACCAGATAAATATAACGCGTGGAAGCTTTGCAAAGTTTAACTAAGTTTCTGACGTCGAAAAATTGAATTCATAATTAGTTATTTTCTAACAATCAAAATAAAAAGTTTTTGCTGTATCAGTACGTTCTTATGTTCATGAGGTGTACATAAGTGTTTATTAAATAAGTTTATGTGATTCTATTTGACACTGATTGTCATTTGCTGAATACTGAATTCTAATGATATATATTATGTACTAATGCTGTTAAAATCTGTCTTTCTGTTTAGGAAATTACGAGTTTTAGTGTCACGTGATGTCGAAGATATATCTATTCTTGCGTTGCCCGATATATATATATTCATTTTTTTTTTCCCTTCAAGGACAGAACATTGAAATCTACAAATGGTTATTGTCAGGAAAGATATACTGAATGAGCTGGAGTGTCCGGTGTGTACGGAGTACATGTTACCACCGATCGCCATGTGTGTGAACGGACATAGCATTTGTTCCAAGTGCAGAGAGAAACTTTTTAACTGCCCAACCTGCAGATATCCATTTTCAACAGCCAGATGTCTGCTCACTGAAAATATGGTCAGAAAAATCAGGTTTCCCTGCAGATATTCTGAGAGAGGATGCAGAAAGCTGTTTCTCCCAGAAAATATTGGGCCCCATACTGAGGAGTGTCCTTGCCGCCCCTTCAAGTGTCCATTCTCGTGCCTTGCCAAACTAAGTTGCTCTTGGGTCGGTAACGCTACCAGCGTTAGGAATCATATTCGGAATACGCATAACGAGAGCATAACTGCTGATAAGAAGAAAAATTATGGCATTGAATACCTGCAATTAGGAAACTGCGTTGAACAAAGTGAGAACAAAGTTTGGCGTGAGGCCATTTTCTGTATCGGCGAGACATTCTTCATGTACAACAAGATGCTAGATCATAAAATGTACTTCTCTCTCTACCACGTGGGATTGAGGTTCAAGACGGCAAATTATAGATACAGGGTGTCACTTTATAAAAACGATAGATCAGGACGTGTCTCGGCATGCAAAACGACAACATCTCTTCTGAATAAGAAGACATTTGAAGTAAAGGACTGCGTTGTTTTTCCAGAGGAACTATGGAAAAAATGTATCTTTAACAGCGACCGTTTGTTATATAAGATACAAATTTGCAGGAACACTTAACACTAATTCTACAGTGACTCTAATGACATGAAAATTTGTTCTAATTTCAGTAATTGAATCCTCTTGGTAACCGATTTAAATGTAATTAGACGTGTGTGTGTTGATTAACATCATTCTGCCATGTAATAATAAGTTACATTACTTGGTTGGTCCTTCGGAACCACGGCATGGGGCGTCTTCCTGTTAAGGAAGTTAGCTGCGAATATATTGAATAAGCATTCCTCCATCTTGGGGGTTGGGTGTGAGGCTAACAACCTTTCACCTTAAAAAAACAGCATTTTTACGAAAAATCTTACCGAGCCTCGGACTGTTTGGCATGACCACGGCAATTGAAAAATTATTCGAAATAGGAGTGCCGTCACAGCGGCAACGCGATCTGAGGCTTGGGCCTTGTGTCGCTTGGTCGCTGGGACCGTGGGTTTGAATCCCACTCAAGCCATGGATGTTTTTCTGCGTTGTGCTGTCCTGTGTACAGGTAGAGGCCTTCGACGGGCTGATCACTCGTCCAAGGAGTCCTACCAACTGTCTAACAGATCAAAGTCAATGAAAGTTGAGACCCGCAGATGATCAAGGCACTGAAGAACGGATCGTCTAAGTAAGCAAGTGTTTGAAATAGGAGTTGAAGGCGAATGGATTTTGTTGGCTCAGGACAGGGACTGTCTGAGGGCTTTGATTAATTCGATGATGAACCTTTGAGTTCCTTAAGCCAACTAGTTAGTAAGAAATATCCGCCTGTACGGCTTATTTATTTTGGTGTCTTATTTTAAACATTCTCACTAACTATTTCGGTCTTCGGAGACCATCTTGTGGAGGTACACAGAGACATTTACTGAAATGTGACAAATATTTTGATTAAATTGTACAAAACAAATACACTGCCTGGATTTAAAAAACAGATTTTTAAAACGTTAATAACAATGTTTTCTAAGAAAAAATACATTAAATAACTACACTTTATGTTCAAACCTGTATTAATCTTTAACGTGGATTTTAAAAGCACTTCAATCTTATAACAAGGAGTATTTGTTATAGATATTTTAATCTTAATAGAGGTCTCACAGTTCAATAAAAACCTTGTATAAGAAAATGGTAAATGAGACACCTGAATGAATAAGTTGTGTAGACAGATGACATTATTAATATGAAATGCGTGTGTGTTGCTTGTTCAAACCACACTTTTTATTGTTTATTTCTAAAAATGTACGGCATTAACAGAAAAGTATTATGTATAATTAAATAAAATTAAATTTTATACTCTGAAACTCGTTTTTCTAATGGCCTGCTCACTTATTTTTATACACCTCGTACACCTGAATGTTCCATCGATTTTCTTTGTATTTCATAGCGATCGATTCATGCCAGATAGGCGTATCAGCATATTCGCATGATTAAACATATCTGATATAAGAACATAAATTAGTGGGATGCAGGTTATTCCAAATGTTGTTCTACACAGAGATACAGGCAGTTACATCTGGTCGTATGAACACTAATAACGCAATTTTGTCGAATCAAGTATGCCCAAGAATACAGCTTCCAGTAAATTAATGATTTTGTAGCATGGAGCGTCTTAAGAGGTCCCTTTCCCCATAATACAACTGAGTCGAAACCTGGAGTACGCGTACCCCCGAGGATACGCAAAGACATCTTAGGGGGTACGTGAAATTTAAAAAAATATATATATTATTTTATGATAAACACTGAATAATCAGTAATGTAATTTATTTAATTTATTTTAGATGTATATTATATACTATGTATAACTTGAATTATACACCAACA